AGCATGTTAGATTTTTTTTTGTTTTCTGACAGGTTGTCACTCTATAGTTGAGGCTCACCTTGAACTCATGGTAATCCCCCTGCCTCAGCCTCAGGATCATAGACATGTGCCATAATGCCTGACTAAATTGGCGATCTTTCTGGTGGTAGAGATCAGAAGACTAGAGTCTCTTTGCTTTTAAATCAGTGCCTAAGAATATTTAGAAAATGTATGCTGATACTGTCTCATTCTCATTCATTATTATTTTTCTTTTTAGCCTTCCTCTTCAGATATTCTTTGCCTGCTTTCATTAAGTTTAAATGAGTAGTATTACTTTTTAATAAACCATCTGCAATTTATAACTGATCTAGCCTTCTCAACTATTCAATTACAAACATTTAGCCACAATGATTAAGGCATAAAATTTGCTCAGATATTTAGAAGTCAAAATATACTACATAATTTCAAATGATGAAATAGCCCACAGATATCTCTATAACTATTTGGGGCGGATCTTAGTGATAGAATAGATACCACATAAAATTTGTCATTGTGCTATTCATTTTCATGTCATGAGGACAAAATATCTATAACTCAAGGAAGGAGAGGAGCCCTTTGGTTCATGTTGCTGTCCATGGTCAGCTGGCTCCAACGCAGAACCAGTGCTGCGAAAGGACCTGGTGCAGGAGAGCTACTTTGGTCAGGGAACAGAAAGGGCAGGGAGGAAGGCATGCTGCCCTTCCAGGCCACGCCCCATGACCCCTTCAGACCCCCACCTTCTAACAGCAAGTCAGTAATGGACTCATCAGCAGACCGGTCTCCTAATGAGTATGGTGACCCATGATCCAATCACTTTTCAAACAAATGAAGCTTTGGGGAGACTCCCAGGTCTAAACTACAATAATGATTTTTAAAAATTATTTTTAAGCACAGAATGCAGCAATCACCATAATCAACCTCCACAATTTTATTTTTTACATTTATTTATTTATTTATTTATTTATTTATTTATTTATTTATTTTTGGTGGAACCAGGGATTGAACTCAGGCCCTTTCACTTGCCAGGGAAGCACTTATTCCACTGAGCCATCTCCCCGGCCCTCAACCTCCACATTTTTAGAAATTTACCAAAATTAAATTCTCAATCCATTAAAAAGGAGCTCTCCATTTCCTGCAAAAAATAACTTTGTTTCAAAAACTTTGTTTTGCAGACCTCATCTCAAAACATACACAGAGAGAGAGAGAGAGAGAGAGAGAGAGAGAGAGAGAGAGAGAGAGAAGAGAGAATTACAGTACGACTTTTTTCAGAGAAAAGCTTTAAAAGACACAAACAAAATGTTGGTTATGCCTATATTTTTCTTGTGGGCATAAATGAAGCTTGCCAACAAGTGGGCTTTTTGAAGAATGACCAGTCAAGGCTTCAGTGTCAGTCTTTGCAGGCAGCCCATCTGAGGCTCCTTAGGCCTTCCAGGGGGAGTCCTGCCTTTCTAGCCAGCATATCGGTGGGAGGAGTTCTGCTGCAGCTGGCAAGGTGGAGATGCAGTCCATGGCCCTTAGGAGCCTGGCCTGCAACAGCCTCCAGCACATGGGCTGTCGGGCTACCCCGAAATTCCCTGGCTTGGCCTCCATTGCAAGCCAATCTAATGAGCCCATCTGCCTTGTCTGCTGTCTTGAGAAAGCAGTATTCACCTGGTGACTCAGGACTGATGGAAGGACTGGTGTGGCCCAACGCACCTGCACTCTGCCAGTGGCCCTCGCCTGGCCCAAGCTTGGGGCCACAGCTTCCTATGCAGTTGTTGGCCAAATCCCCCAGAGGCCTTTTGTCATCTCACACCCAGGATCTTTCCCTCAACTTTTCTTTTTTACTTTGTCCAGTTGTCTTTCACTTTATTTGTTTTCCTCTTGTTTTAGTTGGGTTTTGTGAGAAAAAAAAAATACAAACTTAGATTTTTACTCTAGTTAAAGGCCACAGTTCCTCTTGGCACTTAATTTGAAATATACACCCAGACTTCTGTTTTTCTATGAAGGTAGAAAGTATGTCAGTACAAATGGACTAGTTTTAAGGCTTGGAAATAACATTTTCTTTTCTGGAAAGGGTTTACTTCCTGGGGAATGATTTCTACAGAGGCAACAACTGCATTTTTACAGGCATTACCACAATGCATTAAATGCTGAGGGTAGAACAATAAGCACAGTATGGCCTTTGTTTTCAACAATCTTACTGTAAAGCACAAAGGAAAGTAGAGAATGACAAGCAAAGCACCAGTGAAATGATAATTCTGTCACCTGGCACAGTGCCTAGAGTGCAGTAGGCGTGAAAACAGTTGCCTAGTGCACAATGGATATGGCAAAGTAGTATTATGGGGTTAAAGTGGAGGAAGTAGTTATACATCCTATCTTAGGGGTTATTTGGAAAAGTTTAGTTCTATATTTAATTGCATATGATTTCATGTATACCTGATTAAATAGCTTGCCTGCCTGCCTGCTTGCTCTCTCTCTCTCTCTCTTTCT